AATAATACAAACACTGAAAGATGAAACAGGGACTGAGAAATTTAAACAAGGAGAAATAAAAAAGATTGTTGAGGAATGCTACTGAAATTTATACAGTAAAAAGGAAGTAGACAAAGAATCTCAAAAAGAATATGTACTGAAACACTATAAAATGAAACTGACCAAAGATCAAATGCAGTCTTTAAATGAGCCTTTAACATATGCAGAAATTATACAGGCCCTCAAAAAAAAAAAAAGGGAAATCACCAGGCCTGGATGGTCTACCAGCAGAATATAATAAAGAATTAGAAAATGTATTGTTCAAACCATATAAGAAACTCTTGGAATTTGTAGAAGAAAAGGGAGAATTGCCAGAAGAAAAGGGAGAAGTGGCCTGAAACAATAATTTTTCTCATACATAAGGAAAACATGGAGGGTAAAGAAATCAAAAACTAAGGCTGATCTCATTGTTGTATGTGGATTATAAAATACGTGCAACCATGTGGGAAACTAGATTGCAAAGAATTTTAATACAAATAATACATCAAGACCAGTCGGGCTTCCAAAAAGGTAGATGAAAAATAATATAAGGATAATCTTAAATACTTTGGAATACTTTGAAGCTCACCTGGAAAAGCAAATGGCTATGATATTCTTGGATGCAGAGACAGCTTTTGATAATCTGAATTGGAATTTTATGCTACACCAATTGGAAGTGCTACAAGTTGGAGAAAGATTTTTGAAATTAATTAAAGCAATCACTACCCAGCAAAAGGCAAAAGTTAGAATCAATGGAGAGCTGACGAAAAAAATGCAAATACAGAAAGGTACAAGACAGGGGTGTCCACTCTCTCCATTACTATTCATTCCTACTCTAGCAATATTAACTGAGCAAATTAGAGATAAAAAGGAAATAAAAAGACTGAAAGTAAGAGGTCATACTTTTAAGCTCCAAGCTTTTGCAGATAATCTAGTTATTATATTGAAGGATCCAGTGGACTAAATTGAATACCTGATGGGAGATGCTGATGAATTTTGGTGATATGGCAGGAATGAAAATAAACCAAAAGAAAATAAAAATACTTGTTAAAAATATGAGAGATCAAGAACAACATAAATTAATAGAAAGGACTAACCTTCAAGAAGAGAAGAGAGTCAGATACTTAGGGATTCAAATCACAAAGAAAACTAGTACAGTGGTGCCTCATTAGACGACAACCTCGCAAAATGATGAATCTGCATGACGATGAGGTTTTGCGATCGCTATAGCGATTCACAAAACAGCGTTTCCAGTGGACGATTTTCACTGGACGATGTTTGGGTCTGTGCCTCACAAACTGTTTCTCGCAAGACGATGATTTTGGCACTGATCGGCGCTTTGCAAAACAGGCATTTTCAGGACCAATGCTTCGCAGGACAGCCATTTTAACAGTTGATTGGCGCTTCACAAAATGGCTTCCCTATGGGCGATCTTCGCAAAACGATGATGATTTTTCCCCATTGGAATGCATTAAACGGTTTCAATGCATTCCAATGGGAAATGGTTTTCGCAAGATGATGTTTTCACAAGACAGCGATTTCTATGGAACGGATTATCATCGTCATGCGGGGCACCACTGTACATTATTTAAAGACAATTATATGAAGTTGGTTAAAGAGACACATAATAGCTTGGAGAGATAGGACAAATTAGAGCTATCAATGATGGGAAGAATAGCAGTCATCAAAATGAATGTTCTATCTAAAATTTTATTTTTATTTCAGACAATTCCCATAATATTAAAACAGTCATTTTTTTTCAAGAACTTAACAAGATAATAATGAGATTTGTGTGGCAAGGTAAAAAAAACACAACAAAAACCAAGAATTAACAAAGCAATGTAAGATGCCAAACAAAAGAGCAGGTTTTGGTCCCCAAGATTGGGTATTGTATTATAGAGCCTGTGTAATTAGTCTGTATAGGAATTGGTAACTTTAAATAATGATAGACTGACTACACATGTTGGAAGGACATGATTTACAGTTAGGTTGGCATGCTTTTCTATGGTACAAAAAAGATAAAGAGTAGAAAAGTTTCAACTCGCATATGATAAGAAGAGCTCTACTAGGGACTTGGGAAAAGATCATCCAGCAGATTTACCAAAAAAACACCAGGCTAGGTATCACCCGTAGAGACCTTTACACAACCTAATCTCATGACAGAAACGAAACTTTTTAAGACGTCAAGATCTATTTAAAAAATGATTGTGAGCTAAGGTCCGTTAAGGTCCAAAGAAGAGTTAGAAATGCAAAACTCTTATTTTATACAGAACAAATGGTATTTGATAAACTTCTGCTGGGCTGAAATGATAAAGTAATTAAGAAAATGTATGATCATTTTCTTGAAGCTAAAATGCAAGATGAGATCATAAAATAATGTATGATTAGGTGGGCACAAAATATAGGACATAATATTGATATTGATCAATGGTTGAAAACATGGAAAAATAACAGAGCTCACAAAATCAGTAAATTTTAAGGAGAACATATATAAGATGTTTTATCGGTGGTATATGACTCTTAAAAAATTGTCACAGATTTATACAGAGGTGTCAAATGTTTGTTGGAATTGTGAAGCACAAGAGGGAAGCTTTTACTACTGTATATGTGGTGGACTTGTAGAGTCAAAGTGTGTTAGGAAGTAAAGACACTGCCAATCTCATTGAGTGATTCAAAGTATGTTAGGAACTAAAGACACTGCCAATCTCATTGAGTGATTAGGTGACAGAATGGCACATTTTAGCAAAGTTATCTGCTTTTGTTTTGCTTTAAAAAAAAAAGAAAGAATGCTGGCTGCAATTTTGCAGTGCAAAAGACGAAAAACCTAAAAGTGCAAAGTTAATGTCAGAACTAGGTTAGTAGTTGGCATGCCTAAGAAATGTATGTTGTTCAAGCAAAGCTTCAGGTATGGCCATACCAAATATAACAGATCATCTCATAGCTCCTGATTTTGCAAGGGGGAATTGTTATTGATGCTGTTAATGCACACCCAAGAACTAATCTATAATAATGCTCTTGTTGAATGATGAATTTATTTTAAAAACCTTTACATTTCTCTGTTTAGCTTTTTAATGAGCTGTACAAGAACAATGCGAACCGCTCTGAGAACTTAGAGAGAAAGCAAAATCAGAACTACTTTATGAAAATGATGGCAGTTGAAGGCGTCTATGACTGCTTAATCTATATTGGTGAGAAATCTTTTAAATACAAAGCCCAGTCAATTCTGACCCTGTCAAGCATATCATATAGGTTACAGTGGACCCTTGACTTACAGACGGCTTGACTTACAGACTTTTTGAGTTACAGACTTCTCTGGCCGCAAAATTTAGGTTTGACTTGCAGCCTGAGAATTGACTTACAGACCAGAAAAAAACCAAAATGGAACAAAAACGGCCTGTTACGGGATTAATCTGTTTTCAATGCACTGTAGGTCAATGGAGACTTGACCTACAGACTTTTTGACTTGAGAACCGCCTTCCAATACGGATTAAGTTCTCAAGTCAAGACCCCACTGTATCTTACAGGTTTCGTTCATATTTCATCCTGAGGATTTGTTACCCCAACAGTGACCTCACGTATGTACATGAGAATTCTCTGCCAGTATCGGAGAATTTTCACTTTCATGATTGCAAGAACTGGGACCCTTAACAATTCAAGAAATGTTGACAGAGGTCTCAACAGTGACATCAGCTTTCAGGACTCTTAGTTCTCCAGTTGCTGTGCTGTGTGAGTGAAGGAATGGCGAGGCAATCCATTCTTTAGGAAAACGTGCAAGTGATATGTTGGTTCCCCCCCCCTCTTTGTTTCACATGGGAACTGGGACTCTGCTTACATTGTGAATGTGCATTACAGTTAAAACCAAGGAACTAGTAGCTTACAAAGAGGCTTCAGTTTGATCATCTGAGAGTCCTGTGCCTCTGTTTTCATTCTTCACATCAAAGCATACAAAGGTCTCTGCAGAGGAGGGGATGGGGAACTGAGAGAAACTGGCATCCTGGTCAGTTTTCAGTACCATTGAATGGGAAGAGGAGACTGGAAGGTGCAAGTACACTGATAAAGAGCTGCTGTGGTATATCTGCCAATTATAAATATGGCAATAGAAGAGGCAGCTATTTTCTTTTGTTGCATGGAGGTCCCCCAGGGCCCAGTCATACCTGTGGTATCCCTCCACCTTGGCAGATATATCAGGTGGAGAAGTGTCTCAGCAGCTAGGATAGTTCCAGGATCTGCACAACCTGCCTGCATTCCCCTCACCTCCTTAAATTTTAATGTACTTTAGAATATGGGAGCTTAGTCAAAACCTTGGCAGTTTGAAATTGAAGTATGTTCAAAGAATATAGTGTGCTGTCATATGCTAATTATATGTAATGACATTGACCTTACAGGCATAAAGGTTTTCCACATTCCTGATTGGCTTCTTCTCATTATGATGGGAGGCCGAATTCTCTTCAAAAACACCTTAGAGACATACACAGACAACTATCTCCAGTACAAGCTGGAACAGCTCTTTCAGGAGCACCGTTTGGTGTCACTTATTACACTTTTGAGAGGTCAGTATAAAGTTGTGCCACCTCCTGCTGATTAAGAGTTCTGTTGTCAAAGAGAATGTTGCTCCATTTTGTACTTGCACAGTGTTTCATGGGTGGGCTTTTTCCTTATGATGCAAAATGTAGCACATACTGGAACAAGAGATGAGTAATGAGCATAACATTTTAAAAGAAAATGAATGGGTTTTAAGGCAAGAAGCTCATATTTCATTGATCCCTTGCTAACTATCTAAAGTTGTGAAGCAGGAGATGGTCTGTGCAGGCAACTCTGCATTGTCCTAAAAATCGTGTTTACTTTCAGATGCTGTGTTTTGTGAGAATTCTGAACCTCGATCTCCTCAGGATAAGCACAAACGGGCAAAACAGACCTTTGAAGAAATGATGAAATACATTCCAGGTTCATTATTTTAAATATATTCTGTCAAAAGGAGAGTCACTTTGCAAAATGCACACTTCTTTAGCATGTGTTAATATGGGTGTCCTTGGTGCATGTTTTTCAAATCTTTGTGTTTAAAAAGAATGATTTTATCAGTCGTGTGAGGTGGATTGCTTTGCTAAGATGCATGAAGCCCTTAACATTTCTCATGTCATTCTTGGCCCTTGCCCTTCCTGATATTAGCTTTTCTTGGCAGCAACATGAGCAGTTGCTACACATTTGATCTGTTCATTGGGGCCTCTCCTGGAAGCCCTTCAAATTTGGTGGGCTGTGTTATGATTTTAAGAAGGCATAATTTAATCTCTAGCTTAATCCACTTCTCAACACTTACACATTGAAAACCCTAGGAAAGCTTACCATAAGTCTGAATCATCTTGACAGCACATGATTGCTGTTAAAACAAAGGCAGAGATTAAACTTGTCTAACCTCGCTTTTAAGACAGTTCCACAGTTGTGGTGTTGCTATAGAAAAGTGCCTGCCCTCATGCACCTATGGACCTGCCTATCTTTGTAATAGGTCATGTGGAAATTCTTGGCAAACCCATATGCCATGAGATAGTCTTTCAGATATCACAATCCAAAATGCTTTAGGGAAGAACCATTATAGGGAAGGACCATTTAGGGTTCCAAAGCAAAGTACGAGCCAGTGTATGTGGTACGTTTTTCAATTTTCAAAATACCGGTTCTTTTTTATTAACAATATTAATAATGATGATATTAACCATATTAATCAGTACCTGTATTTATATATTTTTGTTCCCACCCTCCCTTGTCCCCTGTAATAGATTCATATCCAAAACCTATATAATGAAGCTTTCCCAGGAAAAATATAGTTATATTCCAAGTAGGTTACATAAAGACCAATTGCAAAATAATCCAAGTGTTTTATTCCTTTAGCTATATGCAGTTTGGTAGTTAATTTTTTCCTGCGGTATTATCTGCCATACTCTAGAATATCATGCTGTGATTCATACCTTCTGGATATTCTTGCATTCTTTACCTGTAGTCTGTCTCACAGCTATTAGAAGATGGCCTATTACCGTATTTTTCGCTCCATAAGACGCACCTTTCCATAAGACGCACCAATTTTTTAGGAGAAGAAAACAGGAAAATATAATCTGTTTTATTCGCTCCATAAGACGCACAGACTTTCCACACCCCTGTTTTGTGGGAAAAAAGTGAGTCTTATGGTGCAAAAAATACAGTAAGTTTTTACGTTAAATTGACTTTTAACTAGAAGGGCTAGTTCTAAGAATTTAGCAATCGGCTGATCTGTAATTTTTGTTTTATTTCATTAAACACCTCTTCCCAAAACTGACCTGCTTTTTTTCCCCTTTTTTTGCAAAACCACCAAAGGTGTTAAAATGATCCGTTATACTTACAGGCTCTTGGACATAAATGTGAGTGCTGTTCAGATGTGAGAGCTGAAGTTGGGTCAAGTATCATTTTTGGAGTATTTTCAACACAGTCTCCATGGCAATAACAGAAAACTCTTTATATGGAAATTTTGTCAAAATCTTCAGCCATTACTGTTGATTAATTTTCATATCCCAGTCATGTTCTCACATCAAACAAAGCCCCAAGGAAGAGCCATAATCCACCTCAGTCAACAATGAATAAAGTGTATTTGGTAATAAGACTGTATGTTATGTTCTACATAACACATTCCAGATGGCGGTTTAGAATGTTGCTGGACTTGGTTCTAACTGTAATTTTTAAATACATTTCAAAAACGAGAGCTGTGTGTGAATAATCTGTGATCGCTCACTGAACTATGGATCACCCAGGCCAAGAAATAGACATCTAGCACCACTTTCTGGGAAAGTTCAGGCATATTGAAGAACCCATACTCTCAACCTCCATACCAAAAGGTTGCCACCAAATTACCTTGACTGATTTCAGAAACTGAGCAGGATTGGGTCTGGTTAGTACTTGGATGAGCGTCCCCCAGTGAATACTAGGAAACTCCAGGAAGGGCAAAGAAAAGGGGCTGCCTGCATCTCTAGAGATCTGCTGCCAGTCCATCAGTAACACCGGGCTGGATGGATTGAAGCTCTGGCATTGCCTAAGGCAGCTTTGCATGATTTCCTAGGGATCTGATACTGGTAATACTGAATATTACTGAAAGGTCCAGCAGAGTCAACCAGGTGTCACACTTTCCCTGTTTCTCTGTGTAGACCAGTGCTCACCAACCTTGGGCCTCCAGATGTCCTTGGACTGCCACTCCCAGAAGCCTTCACCACCACGTCTGCCAGCCAGGATTTCTGGGAGCTGAAGTCCAAGAACATCTGGAGGCCCAAGGTTGGGGACCACTGGTGTAGACCATCCACTCTGGTTCTTTCCATCCTGTTTGCAAATGTGGTGTGAGGTCAGAGAACACTATGATGAACAGGAGAGTTTAATTTTCTCTCTGTTTGGGTGTGGTTTAGAGGCAGCTTGTATATGGAATGAATTCTGATGACCAGCAGAACCGAACATTCAGAGGACAAGTCTTTCCCACCCACCCCCCAAGAACTGTTTAGTTTTATTTACTCAAGTATGCAGTATCTTCACAGCATTATTCATCTGCATAATTTAGAAGATGGATTATCAAGACAGTAAGAGTATTATTCAGTTGTTATTGCAGCATCTGCATAACTTAGAAGATGGATTATCAAGACAGTAAGAGAGATAAAGGCATGATGGGCACACCTAATCCATCACAATGGTTGAATAGAACATAATAGGCATTTGTACCCATGACCCCGGGTGGGGTGATGGTTCAGTTGGTGAACACAGAATTGTGAGGTTACTCCCCTGTTCAGTTTGTACAAATGGAACAAAATTTCCAGAACAATACTTTGATAGGAGGTGTGCCCAAACACAGATTACTTACTAAAGCTGCTGATCTTGACAAACGGTTTAGTAGGAATCAACTGTTAAGAGACATGGCATCAGCTGATCTCTTTTGTTCCATAAGCGTTCTAGATGTCTTACAGCTCTGAAAATCTGAGTTCATATCCCTTCCTTGTCCTAACTGGTTATGTCTTGCTGTTTTGTTTAGATTTGATTGGTAAGTGCATTGGAGAAGAGGCAAAATATGAAGGCATAAGACTTCTGTTCAATGGTTTGCAGCAACCAGTGCTTAACAAACAGGTGGGTACCCTTACAAAACAACAAGCTCTTCGCAGTGATTCAGAAACAGCTTTTCTTGTTTCTTGCCTACACTGTTGCTGAGCCCTGACGTGCCAGAGTTGTGGTGGTGGTGGTGGTGGTGGTAGTGTCACAGTAGGTTAGAACATCTTGCCTCTTCTTCCTGGCCAGATTAATCGATGACAAACTCACATCTGTCATCCAAGAAGCTACCTGCTCATTTAAAGCCAGGTTTGGCACTGTGTTGCAGTTTGCAGTTCAGAAACACCACACACACTGTTAGAAGAGGCACTGTTAGAATAGTAGGCAAAAGAAAGTTATAACCAGCTGTTTTCAGAGCTACCAGAAATGTGTTTTAAGCTCCAGCTCCTAGTCTGACTTGGATGGTTAAGACAGCAGCGCTTACAGCCTGAGCTGCTGTGATGGCTGGAGATGTAAGCCGATTCCAGGCCTGGATTTGAACAATCGAGAGAATCTGTGGGGAAATAGCCATCTGCTGTTGAGAAACCATTCAGACAACACAGAGCTGGGGAATATCACTGGAGTTTTCTCTTCTCTGAGCTGCCCCAGTCCCAAGGTGATGGAAACCTTTACTGTTGCTGATTCAGCAGTGTGTCAGTATGTGATAATGCTTATGATTTGAATCTTAGCTGAACGGAACAGATAGCTTGCTGTTGGCACACCGTGTCCTGGCAGAAGCCAAGGACAGATTGAGCAAGAAGTTGTGGTGCCTCACCTGCAACACTTTTATGATTATTTTAAACACTTTTAAAAGTATTTAAAAGAAAGTAGAGAGAAATGTAGAACAGGGGGCAAGAAAGCTAGAAGTGGAGAGTGGGAATTTTGAAAGACTAAAGGCAGCAGACAGAGAGGGTGTGATGAAGATAACAGAGAAGCAAGGATATAGGCGGAACACTGAAGTAAAGTCAGGGAGAGTCACAAAGAGAGAAATCCAGTTGCCCAGGAGAGGGTGAGAGGAATGCTGTCCGATGGGTTGGAAGGGTGCCGTACATGGATGGAGGACTCTCGCCCCAGCTGCTGCTCACTCACTTCACTGCCTCCACCCTGAAAATTTTCCTTAGAGGTAATGTGGACCCTGGCAGGGGGAAAAAAAGATCCTGCAGCCTTCTTTTTATCTGCTTCCATCTAATGAATGAATGAATGAATGAATGAATGAATGAATGAATGAATGAATGAATGAATGAATGAATGAATGAATGAATAGTACTTTAATTATAAAAGTTAATTTGGGAATAGTGGTGGTTCAGGAGCATCTACTTTCATCTCCATTTGGGAGGAGTGTCAACTTTGTCTAATATAACTTTGGGAGTTAGTCCAATTAATTTTTGAAGATCTTCATTGCCATGTGGGTAGTGATTACTTTGCTTAACACATACAATAATGTGCAGACCTTTGGCTCTGAAGACTATTTCAGGAACAACTTCTCTTTTTTATTTTTAGTTAACTTACGTTCTTCTAGATATTGGGATTCAGGAACTGTTTCCAGAGCTGAATGAGGTGAGTCATGATATATATGAGTGCTAACGTCTCTGATCCACTGGTGTAATTTAACAGTGTAGGAAACATATTGCATTTCCTATAATAAGGAGTGTTCATTCTTCCTGGCAGACTCCTCGTTGTTCTTGCTCATTTTTTTAATTAGAATAGAGATCTAAGCCATTAACTTTTATTTCTTTCCCTTTGTTATACCTTCAAAGTATTAAGCTCTGATCCTTTTGGGGCAATATCTTGAGACTTGGTTTAGTACTTCTTGCCATTCCAGAGTGGAAGGTATAACCCCATTCCTTACCTTTTGGACAATGCAGATGTTTGCATTGATGTCGATAGCACTTCTCAATTCTTGATCATATTACTGAGATCAGGGACAAATTCCAGCGAGGACTGCTAATCTGCAGTCACACAAACAACACAATGACCCTGTGGCATCAGAAAGACATGGTACTGTGGTATCAGCTTGTAGAGGCCAAGAGCTGCTTCATCTGATCAAAGTATTATGGCACAGTAAAACAATTAGTCTTTCAGATGCCAGAGGAGTTTGCTCATGTTAGTATTGCTGTCTGCCTTGTTCCCATTCCATTTATCTTCTGTGAAAACCATTTAATCCAGAGATCTGCAGGCAGGAGTTCCTTGAACTGTTGACCTCATGGAACATATTGTGCAATGCTTTGCGAAGAAAACCCTGTGTGCACAGTTGTACAACCATTTTTGTTAGTGTGCATGTTCAGACCTTGTGCAAAAGGAGGGAAGGTCAGCTAATGGAATGTACCTCTCAGGATTTCATTTCTCTTACACAAAAATCATTATGTGGAAGAAAGCCTTCCACATACTAAAGAAGCCTTTCGGTCAAGGAGGGATACCTTTGAATTCCCTGTAATTTTAGTTCTTACAACTCGGAGATTGCTGGTATATGCCTGGCAAGTCAAGATATACATTTCATAGATTTGTCCAATCCAGTTAAAAATAATGCATGCTTATTTCTGTTGCAATTCATGGTGAGGATGAATTTTTTTTAATTCAGTGCACTGTGTGTCAAAAGTGTTTTTTTTTAATTATGAATGATTTATTTATAGCCTCAGCAACCCAGGATTATTATTTTTAAAAAAAATTAATTTAAAATGTCATTTTCTTTATTCTTTGTGAATGAATTGTTACAAATTTTAGTTCTTATTTTTTCTTTTTCACCTCCCTTATAACCAGTTCTGCACATAATATGCTGATAGTGAACACACATGTATGAATATATATGCCAGATACCTATACCGTTGAGCTATCCAGCCAGCTACTGGAGAACTAGTAAACTAAAAATTCTCTTAATTTCTGTCAAATTAACTTTATTTAGTTATACTGTAGCATACAATATATCGTTATACTTTTTTCCTCTGGCTGAGTGAATTAACAAGTCTTTCTTTCCCCTCTCTCCCATTGCTTCCATTTGCAGGTTGAAAAAGAATCTTTCTCAATATCAGACCACTGAATTAACTCTGTTCCTAGATGGCTGCTGTGTGCTAATTTAATGGATAGGTCATTGGTGTAGTCTTGTACATTTGCTTGTATATATAATAAACTTCTAAGTTCAGGGAAAAAATCCTTAAGAAGAATTGATTAAACTTTATTATTGATTGAATTTCATTTGTCCTTTTTTTCCTTAAAAAATTACATTTCACAGAGATAGACAGCAATACGATAATGGGCTTCTGCCATCTATATAAAGATCCTTATAATTATAAAAGAACATTCCTACTGATTTATTGCAGAATTTTTTTAAGTTACTGCCTAACATTGGCCAAGATCATATTGGAATTTTACACCAGTGTAGTGTAAGTGGCATAAATTTTGAAAGTATATTGCCTCCTATGAACATTATCTGTTACATCCCAAGCTGTGTGGCTCAGCATGTCCAGAGTGATTTCTGAACTTGAGGAAATTCACCTCGAGAGATTACACCATTTGCATTGTAGTTGTGGGCACTAAGTATGGTCTTTGTTTTCTACATTAGCTCAATAGCTCAATGCTTGATAGCAGACTACAGTTCATTCTAGTGATAGAATTCCAACAATGGTTGAAGGCACTCTACAAGTCCGTTATTTGCCAAGTAACTCCCAAATGGCATTGCCAGACTGCAGTCTTTTAGCAGGTCAGCAGCATCTCAAAGGATTGGTTCAGGTCTGGTTTATGTGTGTTAATGCATCATCAGGTCAGACCAGATTTATAGGAACCTTAATAAGGCTTTCAGGGTGATATTTTTAAGGAGTGATTTTATCAGCGCTAACAGGTCCCAACCAAATGAGTTTCCATGGTCAAGTAGGAATTGAAACCAAGGTCTGGTGGATCCTAGTCTGCCGCCCTTTCCACTGTGCTTGGTTCAGTTTTGGTAACCATTCAGGAACCATGTTTTTAAGAGGTTCTTTGGACATCATGCAGACAGTATTACTTGAATTACAGCGTTGTCTTCTCAGATGTTGCCTATATTCTTCCAGACTTTACTACCATGAACTCAAGAAAGTCTCTTTAAAAAAGACAACATGTAGATTGATAATGCCATCTCACATTATTATCTCCCCAAGCTATGTATTTGCTGTGTAGTGTGTAGGATAGGATTTTAGAGTTTCACCACTTGCTTTTCACTTTGTAAATCAGTTTCTCACATGTTCATGTGCTTTCTCCAATTGTACATCATAATTTTTGTGTTTCTTTTTCGCCACCATATGGGTGTGTGCACCTAGTCCCCTTTTTGTGTGTAGGGTGAATCAGGTGGGAAACGCTAACTGATGTGCAGATCTGTGGTTTTAGACTATAGATCCCAGGATTTCCCCAGGCTGATGTTTAAACTGTGGTTCAAAAAACATAAATCTGTACATTTCCAGCTGAAATATACAACTCACATTTTAATTTACCACCCTGCCCAATTGATCTATGTAAGCATCATTAAAAATGGATCATTTTTTTCATGCTTTGGACCTGGAAGGGCCAAAGTACAGCCCACAGGCCACATAAGTTCCCAATCTCTTTTTTGTGATCCCCACTACATCCCAGCGTACCTCAGGACTCCTCAAAAGAAAGCTGTTTTTCAGAAAATACAATTATGCCATGCTACTAAGATTTGTAGATAAACTGCTGAACCTAACAAGAACTTCAGTAAGACAGCGAACAAGCAGATTTGTGTTAATAGAAGCAGGAAATGTTATCTCTCTCTTTCCAGCAGTTGTCTTTCTTTATTCCCGACTATTGTAAATGGTTAAGGGTGTTATTATTTAAGAGATTATATGCTAATTGCTACCTCAGAGACTTAAGTCTGAGGAATTATTAACCATCAGAGAATTAAAGAATTCTGATTTTCTTCTGTTCTGCTTTATTAAAGTAAAAAACATCTTTAAATAAAGATACAAATCAGTTAGTTTGAAGGAATAATTTTATTTTCACAATTATTTCATGAAACAAAAATCATCCTTGATCTTATATTAGTTTATGTGTGCCATGTTTGTATATATTATAGTAAGGTAAAAGGTAAAGGTTCCCCTTGACAAATTGTCCAGTCGTGTCCAACTCTAGGGGGTAGTGCTCATCCCCATTTCCAAGCCATAGAGCCAGCGCTTGTCCGTAGACAGTTTCCGTGTTCACGTAGCCAGCGTGACTAGACACAGAATGCTGTTACCTTCCCACCGAGGTGGTACCTATTTATCTACTTGCCTTTTTTACATGCTTTTGAACTGTTAGGTTAGCATATATTATAGTAGCCTTAGCAAATTCTTAGATTTAATTAAAGTGCTGAAATAATGTATTTGAAAAAGTTTAAAATAAAAAAGGGGACCAGTGAATTAGCCACTATGGCTGTGCCTTTTTCCACTTTGACTGCGTTTTTTTGCGGGCGCAGCCCCAAACAGCCAGTCAGTCCTTGGCCCCAGCAAATTGCTTCCCTCTGCTTTAGAGCCAAGGTTCTTAGAAATGTCCCTCTCGAATAAAAAGTAATTACATTTATGATAGACTGAGAAAACTGAGTTTTACATAACACTCCTATTTAGCCTATTTCTGTTTTATTATTCGCACCTCTTACCCTTTATTCCACTAGTCATGAGGCACACTATCCTCACAAAACTGCTTCATAGAATAATGCAGCATCTGAGATGAAGAAAACTAGGTTCATATTGGTTCATCCAGAAATCCCTCTTTGCACTCAGGTTTGGCCCAATTTTTAATGTCAAAATAAATGGAAAGCTCAAAGATAACATCATAGAAATAAAATTACATTAGCCATGATGTTTTTTTTACAGGAGTAAGTAGGAGTGTTTTACTTAATTAAAAACAAGAAACTAGGGTACATATTCTCTCTACTTCTAAGGGTCCTGATATGGGTGTTCCTCCACTGGATACTCCCTATTCAGATATGCTGTCTGATCTTGCAAATGATAATCTGATTTATATGATGATGATTCTTCCTTCTCTTCTAGATGATACTGAGTGTTAGTTTCTTTGTACAAATCTAGCTAATGCATCTGTGTTAAAGCAAAGCTAGAAAACAGAAGAATGGAGGGCATACAAGCATTTTGGGACACCTAAATTCTACCAAATTACTTTGATAACAGCTTTTACAGCATGCCCAGCCTTAAAGTGAATATTGTCCTTTGTTTATTTTTGGCTTATTTTAATTCTCTAAAAATCTTAGTTGCGAGACATATATACATATTTATATAAATAATGTATGTACATGTCCAAATACTGTACATATAAAATACATAATTTTTTTTATCACCAATATCATGTCCTTTCCAATCACTCCATTAGTGAAAACATTTTACATATTGGCCTCTGAGAATTCTTGAATCATCTGAGATCTTGGGTTTTGAGTATTAAGTCGCTAGAATGTAGGAAAGATCCAGTATCCATACAGTTAGTGAAAATTAAAGAATGAAGTATAGAAGCAAAACAGATAATCCAGAAATCAAAGAAAGATACTCTTGGAGCGCAGTTCCCGCAGAAAACTTCACACGACCTTCAACTGCTGGAAATACCCTTCCCATTCTAGAGATATAGCTGGAAACAACATCAATGTCAAGATTACCTGTTAACAAAGTATATATCTGTCAAAACATATCATTTAACATATTCCAGTTACCCCAAGTTGAACAGTTTTCCACTGTTGTTATACAAGTACTAGTTGGGACAGCTGTATCTGCTCTGATCGATTCTTGATAAAATGAGTAGTATTGATGTCGTACTAGAAAAATAATTTTATCTTAGCATGCATTCTCTGTTACATCAACTATGTATGTATGGTTAAAGGACAAGTAATGATTTCTTGGCTCAAATCCTATTGAAAAATACACATACAACAGCAAATAATCACTAATTAAAGCTGATTTTAAGGTCCATGCAACTCATAACCCAATGCAACGAAATCCTCAAAGGCAACCTTTAATCAGTGGCAATTTGCCACTGCTGCTAATGTTTTCACCACTGAGCACACTGAGTTGAATAACAGAATTTCAGCCGTCATGATTCTTCTGCACAAGGTAAAGCTGTTGCTAATTTCACTTGATGTTCTATTTTAATAATGCAACTGAACAGTAACATTCCATGCATATAACCTTTTATATGCCTTTTAACATGCCTTTTAACCTACAATTACCATTATTGAGACAGATTTTTCAAGAACAACCTAAATGCTGGGGGGCCACTTGTTCTCCAGCTGTGCACTTTGAAGGTCCCATCCCTACCTTTCAATATTCTGTTGCAAAAAAAGCAAAGCAAAGCTTGCTGCTTATATATCGCCCCACAGTGCTTCAAGCACTCTTTGGGCGGTTTACAAGTTAATTATGCAGGCTACCCATTCCCCCCCCCCAAGCAAGCTGGGAACTCATTTTACCGACCTTGGAAGGATAGAATGCTGAGTCAACCTTGAGCCGGCTACCTGGGATTGAACCCCAGGTCGTGAGCACAGTTTTGGCTGCAGTGCAGCAGTTTAACCACTGCGCCACGAGGCTCCCCTTTGCAAACCACATAACAACTGGAACCTTGGAAAATCTGTGGCTTGTGTATTTGACATGTAGATAAACTGGTGTAGGAGTAACCATGGAGGCAGTCAACAGCCATGCTTAGGAGAAGCATGTCTAAAGAGCTCTGAAAAAATCCTACTACAGTGGTGCCCTGCATAGCGAGGTTAATCCGTTCCGGATTAACCTTCTGTATGGGAAAACATCGTAAAACGGATCAAAAACCCCAACAAAGTTTAATGCGTTCCAAATGGGCCCAAAACTCACCATTCTTCGATGTTTTCCCTTGTTCCGGTGGCCATCTTGGGTGTACCAGTGGCCATTTTGAGTGTCTGGCGGCCATTTGGGGTGTACCGGTGCCCATTTTTGTGTTCTGGCGGCCATCTTGGGTGTACCAATGGCCATTTTTTTGTTCCGGTGGCCATCTTGGGTGTGCCAGCGGCCATTTTTTTTGTTCCGGCGGCCATCTTGGGTGTACCGGCACCCATTTTTTGTGTTCCAGTGGCCATTTTGGAGCCACAGAACAGCTGTTCCCCCATCGTAATGTGAGCGTGCCCTCGCATTAGCGACGGGGAAATCCACATCGCAATGCGGATTCATCGTTCAACAGTGCACTCGTTATACGAGGCACCACTGTATATATAAAAGTTTCAAAATCATATCAATCGAACTCAGACTGGAGTTTAACAGATTTAGTCAGTTTATCTAGAAAGGCAACTTGTATTAATATGTGTGATGGGGGTGAATGGGTTGCATAATCTATTAACGTACTGATATTAGGAGCCGTGTACGTTCTTTATCTTATCATAGCTTTGGTAAAGTTTTATACTTTTGATCCACACTTTATTTAAAACCTGTTCTTCCTGCTCTGCATTGTTAGGTAACATCCAAAACCAGCCTGAAATGTATCTTGGAATTAATACCCCGGTAAGAGATCAATCTATGAATGTAGGAAGTATTACTAATGTACAATCAACCAACTTGCTATATACAGACCATTACAAATGGCTATACTTACCGCTACTATGATTATTTGAGCTTCCCTTTAGCATGTGATACCCATCTCCTCCCCCAGCAAGGAAGGAAGGTAGAAGTACTTTATATGTTTTTTCCATATTGAGTGGAACATAAATTGGTACTCTACAATCGGTGCAAAGAACTTTTAAACTGGTCACTCTGCTTCCAGATTTTTGGGAGAGATCATACACAACTTGTATACCTGTTGGAAAAAAAAGAGAACAAAAGTGCTCAGCATTTACATATCGGCAGGAATTCCAATAGAGGGATTGGGAGAGGAGAAAGGGGGCCATGTGTAGGAAGGGATTGCTATTTTTGAAGCTGAGTGTCTTCTACGAGACATATGTGCCTTCACATCAATTGTCTTGTACCATCTTCAACCTCAAGTCCCTGTCCGAGAATGGGGACTTAAATTGTTTGTTTATTTGATGTTTGTTTCTCCCAATAAGGGGACCCTTAATTATAAGAGTCCTGATCCATTTGAACAGTTTTCACAAATAAGAAGAATTCCATTTCAAAGCATGCATGAGCAACACAGGATGGGATGAGGAATAGTGGTTCCAGGGCCCATGTTTGTGTGTGTGTGTGTGTGTGTGTGTGTGTGTGTGTGCGTGCGTGCGTACACATGCTTGATTCTGAAGTGAGGAAATTATCTTCTGAGCACCACAGAAGCCTGGTCTTCTCAAGGGTTTGCACCAGGGTGAGCAAACCCCATGGATTCTGCTATCAAAGACAGCTGCCTTGGGTGGATCTCCTAACTGGCTACACTAGGATAGTTGAGACCAGCCTCTCAAAAACAATGCAGTGCTGCAAAAAGGTAAGTCACTTCTGATTATCTAGCAAGAGAAGGCACAGACGGCTTTGAATTGGTAATTCAGGCCTTTAACTTACCTGAGACTTGTAGCAGTTCACCTGTTCCTTGCCCATGCCTATAAACACTGTGCTCAAATGCTTCTTTCAGAGCAGAACCTTTAATCTCTAGCAGGTCAAATGTTCCTCCAAAAGGCAGTACAGAGAGCAGCTCTTCCAAGGTGATAGTACCTAAGTACAGTGAAATGTTTTCTATAATTACCTGCTTTGTTACACATTTTTTTGTATTTCTTACTATAAGAGACTGTAACAATGCACAGCTGGGGAGCTAGTGGTCCTCCAGATGTTGAAATTCCAGTTCCCAGGATCCCTTCCCATGGCTAATGGTGAGGAATGAAGGGAGTAATTTATCAACCTAGGGAGTCCCACCTGTTTGTCGCCCTGATACATGGCACAGAGTAGTGGCACAAATGATGGAGGGGTTGACTGCATAAGATGTGACAAATGCACATTATGACCCCTGGGACCTGCTGGACTAATGTGGCTTCTATCCTGCTTTATAATATTTTAGGACAGCTTGCAATACACATTCAAAACCAAAACAAACCAAGAAATGAAAAGAACAATTGTTTACAGGCAGCATAGACAATGATATAACAATCAACTAACAGAAACATGTGAACTAAAGGGCATGAAAAACATTTGTTTGCTTGTTTGTTTATTTATTTATTTTATACCGCCCATCTGGCAGGCAAGGCCACTCTGGGCAGTTTACAACAACTAGACAGAAAATAAAATAAAATAAAATAAAACAACAACAACAACATGGAACACTTCATGAATTTGTGTGTCATCCTTGCGCAGGGGCCACGCTAATCTTCTCTGTATCATTCCCATTTTAGTTTATGTGCTGCTGAAGCATTTTAATCAAACATTAAAAAGCCATTAAAAATGTTAGAAAATGGGCAGATCTCACCTGAAGCTCAAATGGTAGTCAAGGAGATCCCACTTTCTCTCTAGTATTTGTCCACCTAAACTCAGAATCAGAGGAGGTGTCTCAAGACTGCCTCTTGAAATAGATCTTAACTTACTAAAAAATCTCAGCTTTAATTTTGTATCGTTTTTAACATCAGTCTTGGACCACTAAAAACATAGAGGAAGAGGGGTTGTTTCCCATGCAGCACAGCCTCTCCCAACTTGTCGCCATTTGGACTACAGATTTCTGACCATTGACTTTGCTCTATAAAACTAATGGGAGTTGAAGTCCAGAACACCTGGAAGATAACAACGTGGGATAGTCTGATGTAGAAACTACAGTGTTGCACTTTTTTTCTGTGTTGGATCTTCCTGGTAACAGAACAGCTGGGCGCACCCTGCGTGGAGCATTCCCAAATCATACAAAGATAAAAGTTCAGATTGTAATGGTTCACACATACAAACACTGCCAGAGAAAAGAGTCTGGTTCTTTTTATTGGCTTACACTGGCTCTTCCAACACTCAGAAAATCTATTTTCATTCCCTTGATTAAGAGAGAAGAAGGCTGAAGTGCATGAATACTCAAAAGGGAGGGAAGACTAGTCAATTTTTTTGCAGGCTCATAAGCCCCAGAAAAACATATGAGTAAAAAAATACAGAAGATAAACTACAGAAGACAAATCCGGAAAACTAATTAGCTCCCCTTAGAAACAGAGCAAAACAGAAATAAACTGAAGTACCATTGGTTAAATAATAGCCCTAAATATTAGGCATACCATTATTGCTTCGTTCATCAATGGGTCCTCGTATTCCACCACCATTTATGATGCACATTGAAACATGATTCCACTGATTATCATCTGGATGCCTCAGGTTATTGTAAACCTAAAACATTAACAACAAAAACTGTTTGTATTACTGTTAGTGTTTTCATTTTATCTTGGTTTCAAGATCGTCCAGCAAGCCAGTCTTACAAAACAGCTTTTAAAAAAAAAAACACTGGCTAATTTTGAGAAATTACTCTCCCTTACTCTAAAACAGCAACTCTATTTATGAGAAGATATTTACATATATACAGTACTTGATGTCCCAAATTTATACTCAAATGATAGAATAAATATGAAACTCTGTACCAAATCCCAACTGTCCTTCTGTTAAATATGAATGTAATCGCAACCCAAACTAAGTTGATAACGGGATCAGAAAGTATGAGAGAAGTGTATCCTCCTTTATGGCAAGGTTTCAAGAACAAATTTGTGTGAGAAAACGAACTAAAAGAGTGGGGGTGCTTTCAACTGTGTGTGTCTCGTATATACTAGGAATAGCTTTGGAAGCAACATCTAAAAATGCACTTTAATATTTTAGTTTACAGAGATATCAGAAACAGAAGCAATGCTGAAATGGCAAGCAGCAACCAAGAACAGCCTTTTATAAAATACCCAGTTTGGAAAATAGGAGAATAATGGGCAAATCCTCAACAAATTTTTAAACATACAAAAAATCCCGAGGTTGTTATTTATTTCTGCAGGGGCAAAATTTGGTAAAGCAGAGCTCGAAGGTGAAGTTGCTTTGCCAAACATGTCTCTGAGAATATGCAGAAAGCTGTCATAAAAATGATACATCTGGCTGTTACACATGCAAAGAAAGGGAAAGGGTGATCTGGGGAAGAGCTTGTACAGCATTTTCTCAAATTTTTTGAAAAATAATATGTTGGCAAAAATCCTACAGAGATTTTATACCAACTAAGACAAACAGTATAAATTTCATTAGTGTAGGTATTTACTGATGCGCACTGAGTCGCATTACATAGCACACAAAAGCAAATGCCTACAGTAACTCCTTAACTTGCAGCAATTCACCAATTGCATTATGCTGGTGGGCTCCAATAGGATTTGGGCCACGAGTTGTAAAAATGCCTTATGCATCCATACATAGTAAAATAATCCTGTTCATGTGCTTCAGCTGGAAAAGTCAAGACCAGCGGACTCCTCAAAATGGACAACTAAATGTAGAAAGTGAAGTCCAGGAAATGTGAGATAGGAAGACAATAAGCAATGAATGTTTGCTAATTCGGAAGAAAAAGAGAATGACTTCGTAAAGTGAAGAATATTATAGGGGCTATTGTGAGGAGAGTTCCTCGCTATGGAAACTTAAAGACACTCTCTTGATCTTTGTTATGCTAAGAAATGTGGAACATAGCCATTCCTAGTCAATGATTGTTCAGGGATCTAAACAGAACCAGCTGCGCCAAGACAAGTGGCTTCCTGGAAAAAAAGCACTTCAAGTTTAATGCAGATTTCCAGGACAAGGTGGTGATGCCTTGACTGACTAATTAACTTCTATTGTGCAAACATTATAATCTCGTTTCAGCAAAACAATTATGTAAGGCCACCCAGAATTTGCCTTCTGTGGATTTTTTAAAAAGGTGTTATAATAACCATTATAATTATGTAGTATCAAGTCAGTTCTGCTTTATGGTGATCCTTTCTAGGATCATTCACCAGTTCCTCCTCCTGCTCTGGAGGTGTGCCGTTTGCCCAAAGTCATGCAGATGACAGCCACACACGCTCTCGGTGATCTTGGCTGGGCTCTGTGGAGATTCACACTCCAGGCCATAGCTCTGAAACCAGGGGCTCCAACCCACTGAGCTATGCCAGCTGAATAAAAATAGCTGGAAAGTTTGCATGTTTAAATAACGTGTTCCAGATCCCCATGCATGTAGTATAGCTGGCAGACAAAGGCGGGCTGAAATGGTTCCATGTCCCTTACCCAGGAAGGAAGGAACATAAAACAAAAGTCCCTTTGGTAAAGCAAAAGTACGACTTGTTAAGAAATTCACTTGCCTGCATCTTTATGAATCCAGAAGGCAAGCAAATGTAATCAAAAACAAATAGCATTAAAAATATCACAGCAAGTTTGCAAGAGGGCATCTACCTCCCTACAATGAGCAGGGAAATGTCTGAAATTAACAATACTGTGCCTTTGTCATCATAGGCCTAGACCAGGGGTGAGGAATGGCAGGCCTGACAACCAGTTTTCCTCTTCATCCTTCTTCCTAATGAGGTGGTGAAGGCTTCTGGGAGTTGTAGTCCAAGAACATCTGGAGGGCCAAGGTTGGACACCACTTAAGATTTTCACCATCTGGACAGTCAGTGTCTATACAACATCAGCAGCACTCGTTTGGCTACAGATGGTGAGCAGATGCCTCATCTAGAAGAGGGTGTCGAGATGACTGCTAAGCCACAGTCCAGCTACGTAGAATGTGGCTGCCCCTCTCCTTGCTTTCTACCCACAAGAAACTACATGGGCCTATAATCCAGGTCACCACAAAAAGGTAGAAGAGTTTAAATCTTTTCCCCCCAAATTGCTGCTGCAGTAGCAGCTTCCTCCTCCTCTCCTCGTTTTTAATGTGCTCCTTCTGTATGAGGAGCATGCACACATGCAGTTGAAAGGGGATTTTTAAAGGTCACCTGTCTGTATGTAGTGGCATGGATCAGGGCCTTGCACATTTAACTATGAGTAAAAATGTAGGGGGCAACTACATGTAATGTACCATGTTGTTTGGCTCTGCAACAGATTTAAAAGGCAATTTGATATCTGCATGTAGAATGAGAGTACCGATGGCTGTCAGTTGCATTTACATACAATTATGCAGATGAGAGACAGTATGCCTTTCAGTGCCAGCAGTGAGTGAACAACGTCGGGAGGGGGCTGTTGTGCTCACCAGCTTGTGGACTTCCTATAGGCATTTAGTTGGGAAACAGGATGCTGGATTATACAAACATTGTGTCTGATATTTTAGTATGTTCCTCAAGCCAGTTACAGACAGTGTGTTGTAGTGATAGTGATTGATTAGGATTCAGGAGACCTGGGTTCAAATTCCCACTTGGCCACGGGAACTCACCAGGGTGGAATTAGTAAAACTAGTTCTTAAACTGTCTGCCATACTTTGAAAACCCTACTAGGGTGACCATAAATCAGATGTGACTTGATAGAATATAACCAAAAAGACAGCCTTGCTCAGAGTCTTTATCTCTCAACAGGCATCTCTGAATAAAAAGCTTTGCTTGCAATAATTGGAATAAATCAGCCATCCATCTGCATCAACAAATCAGTGATGAAAAAAATAATAATGAAAGGATGGGTCCAAAGGTGTCCTTCCACATTTGAAGAAGGGTTTTCTTCTGCAATGCTGTAACACTATATTTGAAACCAACTTTCCTGCAAGCAAGAAACTGAAAGACAACTCATCTGCTTTTGCTCTAGGGCAGCCCCTTTAAGAGTGGAACACAAGCAATGTTACAGAACCTTCCTGTTATATCCATAAACTCCTATGGATGTGTTCCAGAACAATATTAATGGCTCCAATCCACAGTAAAATAATTGAGTACTTCTAAGCCTTTGTTATGTTAAATTATGAACTCTCAGAGTCATTAAAAAAAACTAATTCAATAACATCTAGATGGAAAAAAGCACACAACCTATAGCAATATGACATGCAACACCTTGAAGTACAGAGATCATTCTTTAGCATATTATGCAAAAGCCATCAGTTAATGAACGTCTATAAGTTAGATAACTACTTTCTTACCGCAGCATCACAGATCAAATTTCCCATATTGCACTCTTGAAAACGGCATGCATAAGTTGTACCATTTAGGTAGACAATAGTTTTCCCTATTACTTTGGAAGAAAAGTTTTGTAATTCACGCTTCATTTCATCAACTTGTGCTTTCACAATTGGATCTAAAATTTTAAAAATGGAAGATTATTACTAGCTAGATAACTGATAAGAATAATAAATGTCAGTAGTCATGTCATACAGTATGTTGTTTTCTTTGGGTTGAAGGTCACACAGCTGAAAGTTAATTCAGTTCTTCAATAAAGCCACCAGTGTATTAATGTGAGATATTGTGCTTCTGTACCCACAATTCAAAAAGTCAAGAAATGGCCTGATATTATTTTTTTATTTCTTTGTTTGTTTTATTTATATGTCACATTTCTCCCAATAAAGGAACCAAAGGCAGCTCACAATATTAAAAAGAATAGTTAAAAATGCAATAAATTAAACATTAAAAATATTTAAACTATTGCTAATTAAAATACAAAATACAATTGAATAATTAAAAGCAACTGAATATTAACTTAACTCTAAGAAGACATTGGGGGATTCAAACATGATTGTTAAAAGCCAACCTGAAGAGATGGGTCTGTAGCGGTTGCTTGAAGGATACAAGGGAGGGGGGTCAGCTTGATCTCCTGATGGAGAGCGTTTCATAACCTGGGAGCTGCCACAGAGAAGGCCCTCTTCTTTGTCCCCATCAGCCGTGCCCGTGCTGGCAATGGGACTGAGAGGAAGACCTCCTCTGGTTATCTTAAATGCCAAGAATGCTCATGTGGGGAGATATGGTCCTTCAAAGATGTCAGGATATTGTGGCCCAGAGTTAGTACATAATTCTGTTGTACGTGTTTTGTAAATACGCTACTGGAAAGGAATCTCGGTGAGTCTCTTTACTGTTGACCTGGAAGACTGCCTTGTCTCGGATCCATTTCTACATCCCAAAATTCCTGACAAGGGGTTATTGTCCCAGAACGACCCAGCTGTGCCAAGTAAGCTGTGGAGATGCAGCCCCCCCTCCATGGGCCCCAAATTCCCAGATTTATTCTCCATACCTTCAGAAATGCTCTTGTCTAGTAAGATAGGGTTTCCAACTGCTTTAATAACATTTCCATTTTCATCAAACGTGACATTTAAATAACCGAGGTATTTTCCAAAAGCATATGCTTGAACAACAGGCACTTTACTCCCATAATCTGACTTCACCATGAATGGATAGTCACCAGCAGGGATATCATTTGAAGGTTGAGGTCCTGTAAAAACAGAGTATGAATGTTTTTTTCCTAGCCAGTTGTCTTACTATCTCTAGTCTACACATAGAATATAGAATAATGCATACAGGCAGAGTCTGTCAGCTGACATCAGTGCACATGCAGGGAGAAGCTGGTTTGTGCATGACATCTGAAGCACAAAGTACTGTCACAGTACCCACTGGTTACCGCTTGGGACCCAAACGTTTACTGCTCCCTTCTTTCCCATGACAATAGACCATTTCATTCCCTGCAGTGGCTATCATCCACTGAGGAGAACCAGATTATGGACTCAAGATGAATTTCTGACCATTCTCCTTTCCCCAGCTTCATCCAGCTATGTAATAGCAAGTTTTTAGTCTCCAATATTTACTGCTTTTTGAGTATGCACATGAAGCAACAAGAACACTATACCCTTGCTTTTTTTCAATTTTTTAAAAATGCCATTTAGTCTGCCACCACTATGACAGATATTTATATGTGTACAGTAGTTTTGTCCAGCACCTCTAACATCATTGATTAAAAAGCATGTGCATGTGCAAAAGAGAGAGGGGCATGCCCAGCTATCAGTGTCTTTTGATATTTCTGCTTCTGTTGCTTCTTTGTTGAAAGGGCAAGCCAATTTTAAAGTGAAAGTTGGTTGGTTGCCTGCTAATCCACATGGATAACTGCTGTAGAAGGCAAACACCTTCTGTGGCTAGATACCTGTCATGCCCCCTTCAAGCTTGCGGCTATGCGAACTCATCCCCATGATCATCCATTTATATGTTTTCTATTTTTCTGCTAACAGTGCCAAGAATTGGACATATAAAATAACTGTATATATAACATCAAAAACAATGGGGAAAATGTAGATAATAATCATATCAATAGATCAATACATAGGCTAGAACCCCGTTATTTTTATTATGTGTGGAAGTGAAATTATAGCTATGGTTAATTAACAAGAAGATAGGCACATGACCAACAAGGAACCAAGACATTGTCAATTAGCCACATCAGCTTCTATAATTTCACTTCCACACAAAGCAATAGGATTCTGTTGATAATAAAACAGAACACAATGCAATACTGAATAAGCTACTATACATTACCTGATGACATTAAAACAAATTAATTTAAACCAAGAATTCAAACACTGACTACCATGTCCCTTCTTTGTTATTTCAACACATCACTGTGTTGCTGCAAAAATGGAGCTTTATTTTCAGCCTCTAGTTGAGTTTATTCATTCTTCTAGTAGTTCATGTAGGCATAGTTGACTATGACTCCATCCTCAATGCTTTCTTTCTTATACAAACTCATTCAGGAATGTATAACATACATTTTGAAGTTACGTGGCTTTTCAGTAAAAAAAATCCCTTCTATTTTGTGTTATTTGATGTATTTCTGTCTCTTGCAACTCAGCATCTATAGAGTATCTTTTATTCACTCTCTGAATAAAGTCAGGTTGCTTGACACTCATGGATGGACACTTTACATAGAGAACAGAACACATTTTATTTTGTTTTGTTTGCTAAGCGTAGTGAGTTTCTTACCAGAAACTAAGATAATAATAAATATTTCAGATTGAAAGAGTTGCACAGCCATTAGTAAGGGCACCAGAAAACTTGCCAGTAGATTTATATGCCTGCCAGCCAGGAAGCCAGGTTTTCACTGGCATGAAAGATTCTTTGTGAATCCCTGTGTTACTTGGTTTAAACAAACAAACAAAAAAACTAGGTTTCTGTACCATTTCCAAGTGGTATCCGCTGTAGTCCTAGAAAAGTTAATGTGTGGGATGACAGTGGCTTATTTAATCTCAACCATGCCTTAAAAACGAAAGACAAAAATAGGAAATGTTTAAAATAGACTGAAGAGCCTACAAACTTGAAACAAGTTGTACTTGAACAGGGTACTGCTGGATATGTAAAAGCTTGGGGGGGGGAGGAAAGCAAAAACAAAAGAAAGCATAGACCCCAGGATTGCCCCCTCCATCCCTTCACCAGGATAATTTTTAAATTTTCCCTGTGGAAAAATAAGAAACTATGAGAAATCTAGGAACAAGACACGAATATATATATTTTTCCTTTTGGAACGAATGAAGTGTTTCACTGACGCAAAACATCAGGATCTTTGTGGTACACAGATTTATATGTAAGAGAGTGTATAGAATTAGAGGATGATTAATGTACATCCTATAGTCATAATACAGCAATCCAGCCCAAAATGCGGCCACCATCGAGAGAGGACCATACAGCAGTGTGAAATCCTTTGCGCCTCCCCTTTCAGCTGAGGAAACATTCACAATCTTCTTGTAGAAAATGAAGGCTTTCATATTTTTAAGATTCATGACTATGCCAACTAAAAAGCAAGAAAAGTGTGTGGCTTCTATGCTGCCCCATAGTGTTTAAAGCACTCTCTGGGCGGCTTACAATGTAACGATACAGGCTACACATTGCCCCCCCCCCCAGTGATCTGGGTACTCATTTTAATGATGGAAGGCCGAGTCAACCTCAAGCCAGATGCTGGAATCAAACGCTGACTGTGAGCAGAGTTTTGACTGGAATACTAGTTTAACCACTGCGTTGCAAGGCTCTATACAATACCATATGCTGTCTGTGTTACCAATGAAGCATTTATGTTTTGCCAAAGCATTAAAATAAGTTTAAGTTAGCTATGAAAATAAACATGGCATATACTTCAATGTTATGCTCTTTTCCTCCTTTTTACAGTGTTCCAATAGTGTAGGCATGTCACATTTCAAGTTGCTGGACCACAGCCTGGAAAAGTTACTTTTCCGGAGTCTCAGAGCTGTAGTCAAAACCTCTATCTTTCCCAGGTTCTCTTCTGTACTGCTCTCTTCAGTTGCAGCAAAAAGAAAAAGAAAAGAAAAAGAAAGAAAAAGAAAAAAAGATAAAGAGAAGTCTGAACGGTATTAGGTTTGCTAGCAAACTGCAGGAAGATCAGTTTGTTTGTACCCAACTGGGGAAAACAGCATGTTTTTGATTAGCAACGCCTGTGAAGCTGATAATCACACATAGCCCTGAACACAAAACTTCTCTGGGTTGTAACAGTTTGCTATTTTACTAATCCTGCATTATTTCCCCCAAAATGTTACACCTCCAGATCAGAATGTAAAAGTCATATTCTACACATTCATCACAGTTGGCATTCAGCCAACCATGTTTTCACGGTGCTTTTGAAGTGTTTTATAAGAAAACAAGGTGCCTACGCATGTTGCAGTCTGACATATGGACAGACATTACAGGCCAGGAGAAACATTTGGAAAAAAAAAACCAGATGCAGGGAGTTTCATCCAGCCGGCACTCATCTAAACTTGCTGTGAAAGCATATAATTACGCAGCTAATTTTGAAGGAAGCCAAGATTCATGTACACTATTTTGGAAACGTTTTTTAAAAGCTTACTCTTTTTTGGTGCACTCCAACACATCATATATGACCAAGTATAGTGTTGTGCTTGCTGTTTTGGACTAGGACTCAGAAGACCCTGGACTCTAATACTATTCATCCATGAAGTTCAAGGGGTGACCTCGAGCCAGATGTATTCGCCCAGCCTGGTCAACCTCTCAGTGTTGTTGTGATGATAAGCGGAGAGGAAGAGAGCCATGAACGCTGCCTTAAACTCACAAGAGGAGTGTAAAAAATAATACAAGAATTTGCTCCTCCCACTGAACCAGTTTCCTCACTTTTTGTGAGGAAAGATGAGCAAACCCATCTTGGGAAGAGTCTAGTCAGCCAGCAGAGCTCATATGGGCATATTTATGCAAGAGTGAGGATGGTAAAAAAACAAAACAAAACAGAAGAGAAAACAAGGCACAAGCAAAAGCAGGGGAGGGCAGCAGCATGATTCATTTCTGTCATGTCTGTGCATGCCAATGGGAAAAGGTCCAGTGCTTCTGGCATATAACAGCAAACCTAAAACCAACCGCTTGACAAGGGGAAAAGGAAAGTCTGACGCACAAAAACACTCAGAAAGTGGGGCCAGAGCACCGAGACTAGATGTTAAAGATGGAATACAGAACAATTAGCCTTAAGAAGAAGTAGTACTGTACTGATGGTCTGTCTCATCACCTTTTTTCCCCACACTGGTCAAATGAATCAGAGGAGAAGGAAATGCCCTCAGACTATTTATTTATTTTTTTGGTTAGGCTGAAGTCTGTACTTTCCCAGTTTTTGCCCAGATGAGAGTTTCTCCCACACATGACCAACTAGGCCAGGATGGGAACAAGGAAAGGCTTTTGGAATCCATTTTTTACTGGAGGTGATGCAGCACGAAGTGATGGCAAACACACTCTTGGGCATTTTCCATTTTCGTTCTATGTTCCAGATACAGCAAATGATGCCATACACAGACCAATCTCCTCAGCAGGATCAAGGCATGAAAAAAATGCAGTTATTTAGTACTACATTGCAACTTACAAACTATTTCTCTCAAATTACTAATCAGAAACTTCATTCTGCTGACAAAACACACCTGTATAAAGAAATGTGTTTGTAGCAAACTATTTCTCTCAAATTACTAATCCGAAACTTCATTCTGCTGACAAAACAACACACCTGTATAAAGAAATGTGTTTGTATGTCCTCCAACCACAACATCGACACCTTTTACTTTTTGAGCGATGCTTTTATCCACAGTAAAGCCAGAGTGACCGAGAGCAATGATCTTGTTGACTCCCAAAGTTGTAAGTTTGTCCACCTGTGGCTGCAGCGCTGCGATCTCATCTTCAAACATCAAATCCTTCCCTTAAAAATCCATGAAGAAAATGTATGATTGATTGATTGATTTTACTGTATTCTCATCAAACATTATTTGGCAAGCATAAGAACATGTCTATTCTGTATACAAAGTACTGTATGCATATATTTGATACACATTGCTTAACAAACTCATTCATGTACAAAGTATGCATACATTTGATACACATTGCTTAACAAACTCATTTCAAAAAATTGAGATCACGTTATTACATGACTAATTATGTTAACTCTGCGTTTCAATTATGGGAAGAAAACTTGGGTCACTGTAGTTCATCTGCCATGCTTTGAAGTGTGTGGACTTCAAATAATAATTGTAGATATTGAAATGCTATGCGAACATTGGCAAAGCAAGGCAGCTCACCTAGAGCTAACATAAAATCACAATAGAATCTATCTCAGTTAAAACACAAAACAGCAACTTAAGGATGCTACAATACTAGTCACTAATCCCTCGGCTAGTATAAGAAGTACCAGAAGGGGTGTTGCAGGAGTAGTTGCGCAAGTGGAAATTAATAATAATTATGAGCTACCAAGTTAGTTCCAACTTATGGCAACCCCTTCCAGGGCTTTCTATGGAGCACTCAGAAGTGGTTTACCATTCCCTTCTTCCCTCAGTGCCCTGGGACTGTGCAGGTTGCCCAAGGCTATGCAGACTGGCTCTTCTCCTGAGACCGACAGTGAGGGATCAAACTCCCAAGTTCTGGCTCTGCAGCTGAGACCCAACTCAGTAAGCTATGGCAGTTCAATTAATGGGAACAAATATCTAGCATAATAAAGATGTAGTAAGTTCCTTAATGTGGGACGTGGTGGCGCTGTGGGCTAAACCGCAGAAGCCTGTGCTGCAGGGTCAAAAGACCGGCAGTCGTAAGATCGAATCCACGCGACGGAGTGAGCTCCCGTCGCTTGTCTCAGCTCCCGCCAACCTAGCGGTTCGAAAGCGTGCAAATGCAAGTAGATAAATAGGAACCACCTCGGTGGGAAGGTAACAGCGTTCCGTGTCTAAGTTGCACTGGCCATGTGACCACGGAAGATGGTCTTCGGACAAAATGCTGGCTCTATGGCTTGGAAACGGGGATGAACACCGCCCCCTAGAGTCGAACACGACTGGACAAAATTGTCAAGAGGAACCTTTACCTTTAAGTTCCTTAATGGGATAGGCTTAGCAGGCACTGAGGTCTAGTGGCTCAAATCCTGACTGGCTGGCCAGCCTCAGAGGTGTTGGAGGAGGTACCTACTTTGACCAGTGGCCTTTGGCATATGGGCAGCTTGTCCCCTGTTAACATTCATATCCACTCATCTGAAGCTTGTCGAAATGTCATCACCATATGGGGAGACACGGCACTTTGCCTGTTTTAAACCTATTAATCCTTGGAAAGCTGTGGAATTCCTAGGAATTAATTTGGGGATGGATGAGGAGAATAAGATGAAGTTTAAACCAAGCAGGATGGAGGGTTTTTTTAGACGGCAAAGCCTGCTAAACTGAGGTGGTGGAGGGGCAGCTGGTCCTGGATGGGATTATACTTTCCTGGGATCCTTCCGGATTTGTCCCTGACTGTGGAAGGACAGGTGGCAGGATGTTTCCCTCATCTTCTTAAATTGGGACACTAACAGCAACTTTGCCAGGAAGGAAGAACTCCTTAAACTTAGTGACATTCAAATTGAACTTGTATTGTCTATATGTGATGTTGCTGAAGACAACTTTGCAACCTCAGCTGATCAGTTCATATCACACAATTCTGCACTAACTGCACTGGTCATCTGTGTGTTTCTAGTCCCAATTTACGTAAAATGAAAGTGTGCTTTTTCACCTTTTAAACCATGAAGGATTTAGGTCTAGATTGTCTGAAGAACTGCTCAACCCCATATGTAGCTGCCCATGTTTCTGAGATAACAGATGCCCTGTTTGGGTGCCTACCACCAAGATCAATAAGGTCAGTAGGAATTACACTGGGACTCTTCCAAGTCACTAGCCACCACACAATGGAATCTCTCACAATAACCATCAGTGACCACTATGAAGAGTTTTAAAAACCCACCTATTTTTAAAGCAAGTAATTATTTTATCTTGCTTTTAATTCTTTAATCTGTTGCCAATAGATGGTATTTGGAAATGGTATTTTACTGAATTTTGTTTTGATTATTGTAAATGTTTGATAGGATTTTGTCAATATGTTTGTATTGCCTTTATGCTTAAAAAGAATATTGTTTTGAAAGGTGGTCAAGAAATTGGTTAAATAAACTATGAGCTATGCAAGCACTTAAGCATGTATAAGGATGAAGATGGATTTCCATCAATAGTAGAAGCTTTCTGCCAACAGAATTACATCAGTGGATACCATCTTGCATCTACAAAAATGGTACAAATAAAGAAGATACAGTATATCCTTGTCCTATTTCCTATCAACTTTAGAAAGAAGATATTAATTAATCTGCTAAATGTCAAGGGACAACCAGGAAATTACATTCTCATTATTATGCATAAACACAATGTTAGAACAACTACAGAAAGTATTCATTAAGTTTCTGTAGCAGTCTGCTAAAAACCAATTTTGCTAACAAGCATTCAGTCAGTGCCTTTCCTACTCTTTTTGGCAAGAGACAACAGGAGCTGTTACAAAGCTTCCAGTATTCTTTAGTTTCCAGAAACTGGATAAGAGCTCACTGAATCAAGAAAGGTAGAAAACTTGACTTTCTACCTACCTACCTACCTACCTACCTACCTACCTACCTACCTACCTACCTACCTACCTACCTACCTACCTACCTACCTACCTACCTACCTACCTACCTACCTACCTACCTACCTACCTACCTACCTACCTACCTACCTACCTACCTACCTACCTAGCCTGCCTGCCTGCCTGCCTGCCTGCCTGCCTGCCTGCCTGCCTGCCTATAAAATCTGATTGGCTAGATTCAAGAGTCACATTTTTAAAGAAAGCTTAGATAGCTACTCTTTATCCTGTGAATCCTTCATATGGGGCAGTGGGAAAGGAAATAAACTCATCTGTAACATACTTAAAAGTTAGACGTTTTCCCCTTGCTTCTTCTTGACAAATCTTTCTCTAGCAAGGTTCTTAGGTAAATGTGTATAGGATTGCAGTTTTACAAGTTTTGCCATCCTGTCCTACAGGCCAGTCTGCCAGATTATGGCCATCTGTTCAGTTGCAGTGCCATGCTTTTGTCTCCTTTTTAGAATGCAGCTTAGATGTACATGGGTTATTACAAGTAAAAATATCTTCTCAAAAACCTAGTCAAGAACTGTCCTTAAGCCTCTTCAGGGGAATTTAGGGAAACAAACATTGCCGTGACTAAACATGTCGGGCAGTATACAGTATACAGAATGTATACAGTATAGCTTCAACTTAAAATATCTCACCTAGAATTTACTGAGGCCACTTGATACTCTGTCATTTAAAGGTTCAGAGAAAAGTAATGGTGGTGTGGCATGTCTCGCAACAGCATACACATGCTGTGGGACTGTGCCGTCCCCTTGGAAGGATTTCAAATAATATAATCCACTGTCAAACACAGCAGCTTTGGTCAAGAGGTCCTCTGAATCTTTACATCAAAAAAGAAACTGAGTGAGACATAGGGACTGACTCTTACTACCACTGAAAAGGCTTGGTTTAACCTTAAGTAGAAAGCCACTACAGGTATATATATATTCAACGATGGATTATACAGTTTCCAGTGCTAAATTGGGACATATGAGGTGATTTTTCCATGAAGGAGCAGCAACAATCTCCGTTTCTTGAACTTCTTCCCCACTGAAACCAGTAGAGAAGGGGAAATCAACCATGCCACCTCTAGCCTGGCATACCTGGTAGGACTTCTTGGGGAAAGAAATCCACCTATGATTCAACCCTGAGTTTCAGGACAACTGCGTGGCACAGGCATGGGAATGATTCATTTGTTATTCTCTTCCACTTATGGCATGCAGGCCATTAAATGCAGTGTGCGTCATTTTTATATATATTCATTAAATATATATTTTTCTATAACACCTGTAGTATCCTTATTACTCCCTCAGTTTCTCCAAAGCTTTGAGACTCAGAGCAGCAAAGCTGCAAACGTATTTTACAATTCCTGCTACCTTTTCAGTGGCCCACCCTCTGAGGTACAAAACAAGAGGTAAAAGGAGGAAGCCATGCTGATCTTTCATGTCTGAAGTGGGAGTTTGGAAGGGTGTCAAATATTTGCAGGAAAGTGTGCAGGAGGTGCAAAAAGCTGAACCTTCCCAGTGGTCCCTACCCCTTAACCAACTGCACTTTTTAATTTAAAGATTCTTCCTCACAGCCAGGCTCCATGGCCATAAGCAAGTGGAGCTGAGGAGGAAATGTTTCAGATCCCTGAAGCAAAGCTAGTGGAGTAGATTCAAAGGAGGCAGAGCATTCACAACATGTTATATTTCAAAAATCTGTCCACATTCAATGGCACATTACATTCCGATGAAACAGAAATGGGGCTGAATTGTTGTCTTTCTAATACTGTACCAGGATTGGCAAGAAATTACATGATACTATATGATATCTAGGAATTTGCTCTAAGCTCCCTTAATTACGATGCAAGAGTATATGAAAAGATTCCCAAAAATGCAAGATGCTACAATTTCCAGCTTTCTTGAAAGCTGCTTGGGGGCAAAGAGAGCCAACAACCTCTTGCTCAAGGTCCTTACATAAAGAATGTCATTTCTTTTTAGCTCACGGTAATCATTCAGCCTGATATTTTGCATTTGTAGAGTCAGAGGAAATAATCAATGTGCTTCCAAAGAACTTGCAGATTTCTTGGACTGCTTTCACAGAATGACTTCATGCTTCCACCATTTTTCGGAGGATATGGGAAGACAACAAAAGTTCCAGGTCTTTTTCCAAGAACATTCCTCGGAATACATTTCAAAAAGCAAGCAATCACCCAGATGGACTTGTTCCAATCCATGCTAATAATTCCAGTAAATGAAACTGGGACCTAATTATTCTATTCCATCTAATTATCTTGCTTTCTGCAATACAGAACACATTGTCTATGGATCAGAACAATGGAAATTGCTCCTGGAATTTGCTGCTATGGTTTCACAGTGTATGTAGGTCAGTCTGAAGGAAGTGCCTTCAGTGAGGATGATGTATTGGATCCAGAGCTGTTCTCATATAAAACAGAGAAATGTTTCCGCTGAGACAGTGTCCCACTGCCCCATAAATTCCTCTGACTGCCCATTTCTGGTGTCCGGCCCATTCTAGACAATCACCCTCAGGTGTGTCTTCTGGAGGGAAAAGAGCGTTCCAGACAGAGTGCAGGCAGCTGCACAAGTGAACCTTCTTTGGAGGCCATTAATTTTATGTGTCCAAAGAAAGTGGTTTTTAATCTTCTAAAGCTCACACTGAAATAAGCACGTCAATCTCCAAATCCCCAGCGTTTTTATTGTTGATGTAATTCATTTTAGGTTTCCCCTACCAGTGCAGTACTTTTCAAAATTTATTCTTGTAGAAAACGTATCTACCTGACTCTGCCTGCCATAATATAACCCTGATGGAAAAAAATGTGTACAGTGGGTAGAATGCTGGATCATGGTGGTAAAAGGGTAGGGAGGATGGAAAACTGGAAGGAGCAGGAATGGAATGGACTATCCTGGGAAAGATCAGGAAACCTGAACAACAGAACTCATCGCTACATTGTTTTGTGATCGGTTCTCTTTGTTGACATGAATATAGGCAGATCCAGGATAGAACTCTACTCTCATTCATATGCACGTATGCCTATCAGGCTTACATTCTGAGAATCAATTTGCAGTAGAGCCTCTAATGCATGGGTCTCCAAATTATGGCCCATGGGCCACACCCGGCCCATTTTATCTTTTTATCTGGACTGTACATATGTGAGAATGTGCGGGCAGGCATGTGGGCAGTCGGGAGTGTGGATGGGGGTGCAGGTGGGTGGGGGTATGGGCGGAGAGGCAGGTGGGCACATTCCTTTAGCCCTCGAAAATGTGGAAAATATATTATGTGGCCCTCACTGTGAAAAGTTTGGAGACCCCTGCTCTAATGCAATGAGTCAACATTTTGCTCAATCACATGAGATGGGCAGGTTTGATATTTGGGGCTTAGCCAATATAGATCTGTCTGTGGTTAGATGGCACATTAAACTGCTCTTAACACAAAAAAGTAAGCAGAATTACATTAAGGGTGCAAAATTACAGGGGGAAATCCATCATGTGAATCTATCAACAAAACACGCTGACTTCAATTTCTTAAATGTTCTTAGACGCAAGATAGGTTTTTTGCTATATCACATAATCAACAGATTTTTTTTAGAATGAATTAACACACAGTCCTATATGTGTCTACTGAAAAGAAAGACCCATTGAGTTTAATAAGGATTAATAATAATGCATGCCATCAAGTCAATTCCCATTTATGACAACTCTTTTCAGGCCTTTCTAGGTAGGAAATACAGAGAAGCAGTTTACCATTCCCTTCTTCTGGGGGTGTTGTGGGGCGGTACTGTTTACCCAACTCCAACTGCTGGCTCCACAACCAGATACCTAAGCCCCTGAGTTATCCAGCTAGTCATCAGGATTACTTCTACATAAATGGGTATAAGACTGCAGGTTCTGTGCATGATTCATCAGAATTAAGACCTACTGAATTCAATAGTTCTTACTCCCACTTAAGCTTGTCTAGGAATGAAGCCTAACATTAACACATTCAATGCTAGGCTAACTTATATCAATGTCATCTGGGAACAACATACGGTACAGAAATCTTCCCCAAATCATACCAACACAGCATATTCCAGCACTGAGTTCATTAATAAAGATTAATGAACAGAACAAGGGTGGGCCTAAACTAAAAACATACTGAATTGTTCCTTTTGATTAGCCAGAGCTTAGAAATTATTTTTTGGACAACGAATTCCAGAATCCCCAGCTAGCCTGGTCTATGGTCACATACAGTTCCCAGTACCTATTGAACTGCTAACTTCTCTTTCAGTCTAGGTATCTTGTCCATGTAACACTGATTCACAAACTTTCTCTTTCACATTCATCTGCTTCATAACAGTGGTTGTAAATCTTTTGGCTTTCTAGACCAGAGGTTCCCAGTCTTGGGTTCCCAGAAGTTCCTGAACTCAAACTTGCAGAAGCCTTCACTTCTAGCTTTGCTTACCAGGATTTCTGGGAGCTGTAGTCCAAGAACATCTGGGGACCCAAGGCTGGGAACAACTTGCTCTAGATGTTTTGGAGTTCAGTTCCCAGGTTTCAGTCAATGCTTAGGGACTCTTGGCGTAAAATCTCACAGTGTTTGGTGGCCCAGAAACTAACAGCTATGGAACATCTTGTACATAAAGGTAAAAGTTCCCCTTGACGTTTAGTCCAGTCGTGTCTGACTCTAGGGGGCGATGCTCATTCCCGTTTCAAAGCCGTAGAGCCAGCGTTTGTCCGAAGACAGTTTCCATGGTCACGTGGCCAGCGCGACTAGACACAGAATTCCGTTACCTTCCTACCAAGGTGGTACCTATTTATCTACTCGCATTTGCATGCTTTCGAACTGCTAGGTTGGCGGGAGCTGGGACAGGTGATGGGAGCTCATTCCATCGTGTAGATTCAATCTTCTGACTGCTGGTCTTCTGACCCTGCAGCACAGAGGCTTCTGCAGTTTAACCCGCAGGGCCACCACATCCCTCTTGTACATAGCTGGTGATAATACATTTATCATCCTGAGCACTGTCTTATACAAACGGCCACTGTCAGCAGTGTATCACCAACTTTATGCTAGAAAAGAAATAAATACAATGTGACAAGGAACATAGGATCAAAATGTAACATATTTATTGAAACACATTTTGATACATGTACATAATTTTATACAAGTAGTAAAAGAAAGCATACCTGGGTCTGACAGAACAGGTGTCTCCTTTGTGGTATAGCCAACAATTCCCACTCTTTCTGATCCAACATTTATAATTCTATAAGGAAGGAAATAACCTGTGATGTTGTTTGCTAATTGTTTGCTTGCTTTAATATTTGCACTTACTACAGGAAAATTAATATTTTTGAGCAGCGGATCCAATAATCCATCCACGCCGTTATCAAATTCATGATTCCCGATGGTCTATAAAACAAACCAAAAAAGGAAAAGGAAAAGATTATCCCCTACAATCAAGAACCATCAATTTTCATATAAAGCCATGAAACAGAATTTCTTTTATTCACATTCATCTATTTAACACTATCAAAAGAAAAGCATGTTATAAATAAATTCAATGAGTGTTTCTATTTGCTACTTTCCACAACTTCCTATTCTCCTAGGTATCTGGGAGGTTTTTTTAAGACCCCATCTTTCTTCTCTCAAGACCAAATAACAGGTACACTGATGATGCTAACTCTCACAGGAATCCTAATTATTTGAATGTTCATCATGCCAATTATTGCATACTAATAATGCCAATGCTGCCTTGAAAGCTTTCTCAGCCTGCTTGAAGTTGCCAACCTTGCCATGAACATGACATCTTGGCTTTCTAAATACTATCTTTGAGCAAGCTGCTCATCATACAAAGAGCAGCAGGAACAGCATAGGTAAGGGATTGTTTATTCTACCATCTTTACCTTTCCAGTCTCTTATAGGTGTATCTTTAAAGACCCATTCAAAGACGTTGAAATGGCAGGGAGTTCAACCCTTCCTGAGTGGCACAGCTGCAGAATGCAGGCAGGAGATAACATTTTAATTTCCCCCTTGTTTTCCATGTGTAAAGCACTTTTGTTCAAACAGAGAATCCACCACGTGTCATCAGAAGCTGCCCAGTCTGAACAAGACTGTTAACATGTTGTTTCTGCACACTTGAATCCAATAACCTGTAGTGAATTGTTTTCAAGCAGGGTGGCAGAGCAGAAGAGTGTCCCTCTACAGACCATCATGCGTGCATCCAAGATTCCACATATTCACTGAAGCACCATTTTTCATGCTTATATATAAGCTTTTCATTAGCCTCACATTGCTGTAAGAGGGATCAGAGGGACAGCAATGTGATTTGATTCCTTTGCTAGCCAGATTTTAATCCAAAGACCCCAAATGAGTGACTTGAATGTCAGACAGAGAACAGCATGGCACCTTTAAATACAGACATACACGAGCTTTTGTGGGCACATATTCCACTTCCTCAGGTATATGGACAGCACTAAGTACCTTGAACACAGTGAGTACATGGAGTCTATTCTGAGAATCTCACAACATGGGTTTTGTGTCCACAAAAGTTCATTCTATAATAAATCTGTACGTCTTACAGGCATCACACGACTCTTCTGTATTTTCTTATAGATGGCTAACATAAATATCTTGCAAAAACTGCTGGTACGTCAGCCCTATCCTTTTCAGAGTGAGAAAGTTTTGATTAAGATTGACAGGGTCTTGCACATTCCATATGCACACACAATGATATAGGGTGAAAAGTTAAAATATACACAATCCATCATTCATAGCTGAAGTATCTCAACATTTTATCTATGTGCGAACACACATTTCAAAATTAGCAACTGTGACCAGATTACTTTGTGGCATTTGTTCAGTTTGTGTGATATATGCTAATCCTTGAGTATTCCATGTACCTCCTCTCCCTTCCTTTCCGCCCTTTCTACTTTTTCTTTTGAATTTGCAAATAAATTTTTAACTTTAAAACACACACACACACACACATATATACATATATATATTTTCTCTACACACACACACACACACACACACACACACACACACACACACACACACACGTGGATAAACATGTATTCCCTCTGGTCTCCAGATCAGAACACTGGCAGAGGTTCTTCAAGCATAAGTACATTTACAGCATGATCTTCAGCAGTCTTCCTGATTAGTCCCAGCTTTGGTACATACTATTTGTTTAGGGCAGAGCATGCTGATTTTCATCACAGTACAATATTGCAAGCACAGCAGAAGTTCTGCAATAATGTTAGGTTGACAGGTACATACCCATGTGCTTTTGGTTTTAGATGCCTTTGTACACCTGACTACGGTATCTCTTCTCACCATAAGCACAATTATCCATATATACAAGTATTTCCCAATCTTGTGTCTTTGGCTGTTGGTCCCAGAGGCTGCGTTCTCAGATTACAATTTCAACCACCCTAACCATTGGCTACAGGAGCTGGAGATGGTGAGAAATTGTAGTCTGACAACATTTTGGGGCCCAAAGTTGGAAGAAGTCTGATTTACAAGAATGAGTGCTTAAATGACACTAGATGCTCCCTTGATTTTACCTAAACAATCAACAAATAGGTTAAATGTATGTGCCATCTAAAAAATAGATATCTTTATGTAAAAATGCATAGCAGTTCTGGAATTCTGCAAGATGTAAACTTTCACTAAATCTCTCCTTCCTGCATATTACTTACCATAGCTATTCAAATAAGGAAACTTAAGATCCACTGAGTGTCTTAGTACTAGTGTGAAGATGAGAGCAGCACACCTTTACAACTGCAGCCATCACAAATGGCAAGGTGTATCACAGCAGTAAAAGTAGTGCTTGCTACTTATCAAATGAGCAGAGAGAACAGACATAGCTGTGGGGCATAACCCATGCTTTGTAAGCAGAAGGTTCCATGTTCAATCCCAGGCATCTCAAGATAGGAATAAAACAAAACAAAACCCTGTTCAAGTCCCTGGGCAGCTGCTGCCAATCCCTGTTGACAAAACTGGGCTAGAGGAAGCAATGGCCTGATTTAATATATATCAGATTCCTGTATTCCTATGAACATCACTTGACTGTAGAAAATTTCTCTTACCAGTAAATACTGCTACATCGTTGCACCAGGTGTTCTCAAACAAGAAATGGCCCATAATCCCCTGCCCAAAAATCAAGAATATGGGAGCCAAGCAAGCATAAACCTGGCTTATGCTAAGCATGTGCATGCATGCACGCGCGTGCACACACACACACACACACACACACACACACACACACACACCCCACGCCAGAGAAACCTTTCTATGTTGAAGAGCAGCTTAGAGGATGGAACAGCACATGGCATAACATTCTTTAACACTGGGCTGAACAGAAGAATATGCTTTTCCTGCTTTCACTGTGGGTGCCATACATCTGTACATCATGCTACGTTCTCAGCCCACAAAGAGCTCTGAAGTGTGTGTACAAGGTTTCGCACCCTGCCGTGTACATAAAAGGGCATTCTGTTCCTCTGCATGCCCACAGAAGGTCACACCACAGAACAAGAAGTAGCCATGTCATCCTTTCTCCCTTATATATAGATGGTTAAGGAAAAGAAATCTTTTTCTGTTTAGGACCACCTTCTGATACAATTCATATTACAGCTTAAATACTTGACTCGGCAAAGCTACACTAAATGAACATGACTAAATCTAGAGTAAACCCAGCAACTTAACATATTCAAGAAAAGACCAAATGTCATGACAATTCTGTACAATTAGATCTCTCAGTAATGAAATAAGCAATTCAGAGAACCAAAGAACTGTAAAGGGGGAAGTTACGCCTAGTGTAATCTGACCCAACCCCCTGCCAATGCAGGAATTGGAGTATTATCCAGTCTCTGTTTAACATCCCCAGTGAGGAAGAATATGATGGGGTTTTATTTACAACCCTGCATGCTCTCTGTGGTTTGTGTGAGTGGGAAGGACTAAGAATGTATGCAGTAAGTAAGCCGCATACACAAGTTGGTAAGCAAAGAATATTTTTTTATTCTTTCTCCTAAATATATCTCAGAGTGCATTACTGAGACTTTTAGTGCCAGTTACTGAGAAAGGGGTGGGCTATCTGGGGAACTTGTAGCTATTCTCCTCTATGGATCTCTGTACTTCTACTGTGTAGCAAAAAGGAATTTATTACAAATTCAAAACTTTTCAACAGAGCATGCCACCTTCCTTTCATGCAAGTTGCATTCAATGTCAATTCCTCCACTGTTTTCAGTACTGTACTGGAGTGCCCCAAAAGTCTTGTTCCAAACCAACTCCTCTGTTGGAGTTCTGAGTCACCACACTTGGAGGTGAGTGAGAAATGAGATCTCCACTAATAAACTCCAAAATGGCTACTTTCTGCTTGTTTTAACCAATTCACGATGCATAGCCTCCAGATCAAAGAATATGACATATATAACATACTGGTTATTTACTGGATCTTGTACTGGCTACTCTGATTAGCATCATCAGCTCTATAGTATTTCACAGTTACTGCATGCAGATAATTCCGTTTTTATTTTTTTAATATAATAAAAAAACATAAATGACAAATAGAATCACAACTCAAATATACAGTATAATCCACCACCGAGAATATATACACACACACACACACACACACACACAGAGAGAGAGAGAGAGAGAGAGAGAGAGAGAGAGAGAGAGAGAGTGTCTAGGCTTCTAACCTTTATGTTATGTAAATACGTATTTTAGATAAGGGCTCCAAATCCCATTAAAACTATTTTCCTTCAACAATCTTTTTCTAACTTTCAATTTGAAGTTAATTTATTGTTAGTAGCTAGATTCCACATCTTATTATACGATTCTTCTAACATCAACTGATTATTATTTTTCCAATTCCTTGCAAAGAGCAACCTAGCTGCTGTTGTAACATAATAACAATTAGTTCCATTCCCCCCCATCTAATTGCCAGTTTCCAAATATATTTAACAATGCTAACATTGGACATATTTGTATATCTGTCCCTAGAATGTCTTTATTCTCATTAAATATAACCATCCATTCCTTCTGTCTCTCTTCACCTGCCCAACACATATGATAGTATGTTCCCCCCTTTTTTTTACATCTCCAGCATATAGATAACTCTTTATTCAATGTATTCAACATCATTGGTGTTAAAAACTATCTCCATATTACTTTATAACAGTTTTCCTTTACAATAACTGCTATATTTTTTATTATTCTTTCCCCCCAGATCCTCTTAATACCTCTTCACTGATTTCTTTATTTAAATCTCCTTGCCATATCTCTTTCAAAACTACTGTTTTATATTCATTCTCTATTAACATCTTATATATTACATTTATTATTCCTTTTCTTTGGATATTATCATCCATTTCTTCCCTCTTTTCAATAATTGCTTCATATTT